AAAATAAAAAAGAAAGAAATGGTAATAAGGAAAGTACAAAAATGTCCTCTAGAGCTGTAATAGCCACCTTCAATTTTCCCTCTATATATAGCAGGCCAATTCTCTTTCATTTTACCTCACACCAAGACCAAAGCCAAAATCCAAACAATCAATCAATCAATCCTCTTTCTCAAGTGTTAAAACCACACACATTTCTCCAGTTTTCTTCTCTAAACAATCTCTTTCTTTGGTCTGAACACACCATGCCTGAGGCACCAAAGAACTCAGATTACAATCTTGTAGAGAAGAACAAGAAGAGCCTTGAGTTCATTGAAAATGTTACAACAAACGCTGATGAGGTTCAGAAGAAGGTTCTTGGAGAGATCCTCTTTCGCAATGCCCATGTTGAGTATTTGCATAGACATGGCCTTAATGGTCACACTGATAGAGACACTTTTAAGAAAGTCATGCCAGTCATCACTTATGAAGATATCCAGAATGATATCAATCGTATTGCCAATGGAGATACCTCTCCAATTCTCTGTTCTAAGCCCATTTCTGAGTTTTTGACAAGGTAAATCACTGAGCTTTTACATCTTTTAACTTCAAATTTTTCTCCTTTTTGGGAGTTTTGGTTTGATGGGTTCTTTTTGTAGCTCTGGGACATCAGGAGGGGAGAGAAAGTTGATGCCAACAATTGAAGAAGAGCTAGAGAGGAGGTCTCTACTTTATAGCTTATTGATGCCTGTAATGAGCCAGTATGTTCCTGGTTTAGACGAAGGCAAAGGAATGTACTTTTTGTTTATAAAATCTGAGGCCAAGACTCCCGGTGGCCTTGTGGCTCGCCCAGTTTTAACGAGCTACTACAAAAGCTCTCATTTCATAAACAGGCCTTTTGACCCTTCGACAAACTACACTAGCCCAAATGAAACCATTTTGTGCCCAGATTCCTACCAAAGTATGTACTCTCAACTGCTTTGTGGCCTTTGCCAGAACAAAGAAGTCCTTAGAGTTGGTGCTGTTTTTGCCTCTGGGTTCATTAGGGCGATCAGATTTCTTGAAAAACATTGGCCTCTTTTGGCTAATGATATTAGAACTGGCACCATTGACCCCCAGATCACTGACCCATCTGTCCGTGAAGCAGTCACGAAGATCCTTAAACCAGACCCAAAACTTGCTGATTTTATTGAAAATGAGTGCAGTAAGGTTTCCTGGCAAGGGATCATAACAAGGTTATGGCCCAACACTAAGTATGTGGATGTTATTGTGACTGGGACCATGTCACAGTACATCCCAACTCTTGATTACTATAGCAATGGTCTCCCTCTTGTTTGCACCATGTATGCCTCCTCCGAGTGCTATTTTGGTCTCAACCTTAACCCTCTTTGTAAACCAAGTGAAGTTTCCTACACCCTTATACCAACAATGGCCTATTTTGAGTTCTTGCCGGTTCATAGAAACAATGGTGTCACTAACTCTATTTCCATGCCCAAATCACTCAATGAGAAGGAGCAAAAAGACTTGGTGGAGCTTGTTGATGTCAAGCTTGGCCAAGAATACGAGCTTGTAGTCACCACTTATGCAGGTAACTTAAATTGTTTCATAATATATTTTGCAACTTATTGTTACTAATGTTACATGCTTATACTCAATTGTTTAATTTCACTTTTTTCAGGACTTTATCGCTATAGAGTTGGTGATGTGCTGAGAGTGGCTGGATTTAAGAACAACGCACCACAATTCAACTTCATATGCAGGAAAAATGTGGTGCTGAGCATTGATTCAGATAAAACTGATGAGGTTGAGCTGCAAAACGCTGTCAAGAATGCAGTGAACCATTTGATGCCCTTTGATGCAACTCTTGCTGAGTACACAAGCTATGCAGATACCACAACAATCCCTGGTCATTATGTGTTATATTGGGAAATTACCCTCAATGGGACAACCCCAATTCCTCCCTCAGTCTTTGAGGATTGTTGCTTAACAATTGAAGAGTCACTCAACAGTGTATACCGCCAAGGCCGTGTGTCAGATAAGTCAATTGGACCTCTTGAGATAAAGATTGTTGAGCTAGGGACTTTTGATAAGCTCATGGACTATGCCATTAGTTTAGGTGCATCAATAAACCAGTACAAGACCCCAAGGTGTGTGAAATTTGCACCCATTGTTGAGCTTTTGAACTCAAGGGTTGTTTCAAGCTACTTCAGTCCCAAATGTCCCAAGTGGGTTCCTGGTCTCAAGCAATGGAACAACAGAGCAACTACAAGAATTGAAGAAATCAATGGCAAGACTACTCTTTGAATCTTTAGTATTAGCTTTTCATGGAGGTTCACAAGAACTGTTTTCGTGATCATCTTAGGAAAATGTTAAGCATCCTTTTTAGGTTAACCCCATGTCTTTAATGTTTTTCTTTTTTCTTTTTTTTAACTGTTGTTTATGATGCATAGGGACTATAGTCTTGTACAAAAACGGTTCCTGTTTCAAGGAAAGCTTTTAAATTTCCACTTCTAATTGATTGGGCTCTTTTATTAGTCTCTTTCTTTCTTTCTAATTGCCATAATCATCACTTTTCATGGGAATTTGATCTTAATTCCAGCCAGGAATCCTGCCCACTTATATCAGTTTCATGAATCATGACTATTTACCAAAACGGCAAACAAGAAAGCCACCCACTTATCAACTCCTATCTTTATCTTTTTTCTATTATTTTCTCAAAAAAGCATACCAACTTTTTTCTTTTCTATAAGTTAAAAAGTTTAAACTCTTCTAAATATGCCAAATTAAATATATAATTCAGAGTAACCCTCAAGAAAGTCAGAAGTAACCTATATATCTCACTCTCATGGATCTCATTTGAGCAACCAAACTTCACAGAAAACCAGCTTAATTAAATAAAAGAAAGAACCATGCCCTTTGGTTTGGCTTATAAGAAATGCATGGAGATAAAAGTATATCTTTTTTTCCTTATGCAACATGAGTTACACATAGATATTGCAGAAAGCATAAAGCAAGATGGTTGATTATTATTACTTAGTTTGAAGAATGAAGATGATGAAAATGGTGTTGGGTTTGTAACGTATGAATGCAAATGACAAAAAAGCAAATACAATCCTATTGTTATTATTATTGTCAGTGTATGTGTCAGTTGGACCCAATCTGCGTTGCAGCCGTAAAAATAGCCGGGAATTCTGACACGAATTAAAAACCCAGAAGACAAAAACTGTTCAAGGGCCAAAACAATTTTGTTGTGGAGTAGCAGGACAGATAAGGAAGAATCAGAAAATGTTCCCCTCTCTTTGCCCTTGTCTCTGAAAACAAACAAAAACACTTTTGTTTTCTAGAAAACAGTTTTTTCAGGGAGGTCAGTCAAAACAATTATGGCACTCTCCAGACACAACCCCAGAAAAAAGAGAGGCAATTTTCCAGAGACGTTTTTCAGTTTCTTCATTTTTATTTTCAAAAAAAAAAAACAACAGATGGGTGGTGGAGATAAGGTCTCTCTTTTGTTTTTTGTTTTCTGTAGTGCTTCAGTTTCTTTTGCAGTTTTGTCTACTTCCATCATTTCTTTGCCCATTTTTTTCTCACATTAACTCGCTTCTCCACTTCATTTCTGCTTCTTACAAATTGCTTTTCATATTCAATTATGCTTTTATAAATTTAAACTACTTATTAATATGTGATTTTATTACTACTTGGAACACTTAAATACCGAGTGGGAAGTGCTTTTTAGTCTCCAATAGCACTTTTTAATTTACTTATAACTAGTGTTAATTGGAATAAGCCAGCAAAAAACTATGTTTTGAACTACTTTGTTTTGAAACAGTTAGATCGTTACCATTTTTTTTTTCTCTTCGTAACCGAGATGTTCGAGTCAATTTACACATACCTCAACTAATCTTCGAGATCCATTAAACACCCTATAAATTCAAAGAACCAAATAAGTCACAATATTATTGTAGTAGATGACCTCAAGGTTTAAACCCAAGAATTCAAATAATTAAGCAAACTTTTTTTATCGGTAAACCAATCCCTTGGGATTACATCAAATACTATTGTTTTACTCTATATATATATATATATATATATATATATATTAATTTCGATTGAAAATAAAAAGCACTAAAAATTTTAGTGGTTAGAAATGATGGGTACACATCATTTATGGTTGCCCCAAAATCTAAATTGAATTTTAGCTTGTACCATAAGAAATGATAAAGTATTTGACTTAAAATTCTTCTTTGTTGTTGTATCAAATGATGAGTAAACATATATTAGAAGGTGGATTCCAATTCTGATATTTTCTCCAACCAATTTCATTTGCTATTCTCACTATCTACTTATCCATTTCAACTATCTACTTTAATTTGTCACACTTATATCTATTCATCACTTTTATGAAAAACTTTGCTTTATGCATCATCTCACATCAGTTGCTCCTTGCAATCATAATTTAAAAATGGCTAACGCCATCTGAAAGCTACTACTTGGACATGAAAGAAATGGAATGGGTAGTCGCTATAAGAGTAAACTACCTTTTCCCACCCAAGGTTTGCCTCCATCACACTTTCCTACCCAAAAAGTTCCAAAATACCAATTTACTACCCATAGTTTATATTTTTGTTTATTAACTAGAATATACTTTCTGATTCAGCTGTGAGCGGAGAGCAAAATTGATCAAGATTGTTGGGGCTTTTGAAGAGGGGATGCCGGTGAGTCTTTTGGTTGTGGTAGGTTGGATTTTGGTGGTCGAAATATGACTTGTGAGAGGCGATTGTGTGTTCCATAAATCGCTCGATTTTTTACGATTGGCAGAGTCAACAAGAACAAGGTTTGAAGAGTTTTGGTGAGTGATAATCGAGGAAGAGAATGGTAGTGGTGTGGGATCGTAACAATACTAGAATCGACCGATAATTGGTCGAAATATAAAATTTGGGTAGTAAATTGGTATTTTGCAACTTTTTGGGTAAGAAAGTGTCATTCAGGCAAACCGTGGGTGGGAAAAGTGGTTTACTCTTGCTATAAATTAATATATGCTACTTAAATTGGAGTTGGAGTGATCTTAGATCCATTTGAAGTGCCAAGCAAATAGCAACAACTATACTTACTCTGTTAGGAAACTTGGAAACATAATTCATTTCACTTTTTAAAACATTATCCATACCCTCTCAAGTATAATTAATTTATATATGTGGGTTTGTTTTTAATTTTATTATAAATCAACTTTTGACATCAAAAAATTACTTTCAATATTTAAACATAGCAAAATCAGCCATTGTGGGCCTATTTTGTTCATAAGAAAGATTTAAACTATATTTTAAAGATGTTACATATTACCTTATGACCTTTCTTTATTACTAAATTCCATTCAAACTTCAACATACTATAAATTCTGAACTCTAAACTAGTTAAATGGAGTAGGTTTCTTTTAATATTCTTCCACTCTACATTAAATTGGGTTAAACTAATAAGAGATAAATTTAACTATTATACATCTCGCTTTCATGATAGCCAAAATCTAACTCTCGTCTTAAGAAAATGAATAAAGTAAATAATAGTGATTCAACTCAATAAATATTTAATTTTTTCTTGCCTAATGCAATTTGATACAACTAAAATTCTAACTTACAAACATATTGAATCCAGCTAATCAATCCCATTTGACATTTAAATTTGAGACCTCTTACACTAATTTAACATGTTTATTTCACTAGATAATTATAATAGCAGAAAATAAAAGTTCATTACAATAACTCTTTATGATCACATAAAGTGTAATGTATATAACCACCATTAGATGATCTGATGGTAAAAGAGTAAAAAAAAAAGGTTTCATGAGCTTCTAAGTTGAGTCCGTCAAGGCCCTAATAGGGGTGGTCACTGAGATTCTTACCCGCTTGACAGTTCTAGAGTCTCGGAATATTAGTTGAGGTACGTGCAAGTTGGCCCGAACACTACTGATGATTAAAAAAAAAAAAAAAAAGTTTAATGTATATACCATACCACTAATAGGGGTGTCCAGTGGGACTCTTACCCGGTTTGGCAGCTTTAGGGCCCTAAAGGATTAGTTGAAGTATATGCAAGCTGATCCAAACATCTCCAATGACTAAAAAAAAATGTAATGTATGTAACACACCACTAATAGGAATGTCCACTGAAAATTTTACCCAGTTGATAATTCCAGGACCCTAAGAGATTAGTTGAAATATGCACAAAATGATTTTAACATCTTTGTGATAAAAAAAAAAAAAAAAAAAAAAAAAAGGGAAGGTGTAATGTTACATACCATATAATTTCATGATGTAACAGCACTATAAAATTAGTGATAATTTCTCTAACCTTTTGCATTTTAGTGGGTTTTACGTCAAAATATCCAATTTTGTACGGCTTTAATACATCCTAAGTTAACTAATTTTATACATAATACTAATTAATAAGCAATAATTAGAGCATTTCCAATGATGTTATTTATTATAAAGAGAGTTTTTCATATAAATAAAGAGTATTTTTATAAATTTTTAAATATAAAAAATAAATTTTTTATTTAAATCTAATGGACTCTTAAAATTTAATGAAGATACTCTTTATTTTCAAGAAAGAAACTTAATAGGAGAGAAAATTAATAAATAAAATATATAAAAATTTATAGTTTATTTATTAAAAGTAGGATAGAGAGTAAAATTTAATTATTTATTCTCTAATATAAAGAATTAAATTTATTTTTTAATTAATATTAATATGATTATAAGTATGTTAAACTTTTATTTTTATAGATAAATTTTGAGATGATAAAGAGTTTAAGAGAGGAGATGGTCTTAGACATTAAAAATCAACGATAATTTTGCAAATAATGAAAAAAATGGGAGAGGAGAATGTAGGAGAAAGAGACAAATCCACGTATCTAACGATCCGTGTGTCTTTGGGGTCCACACCCCATCCCCCATGCAAATCAAGGTTCCCAGAAGCGTAGAAACCGGGAAAAAATTATATTCGGATGGGGGCTTCTCCAGTGGGGGAGGGGGACCATGTCCAGATTCACGCCAGTGGCGTACAATAAGCGTTGCCCTACGTAAGTGTTAACAAAGTCCTATCTCTTCTCTTATGTGTGGGTCCTCTTTGAGTTAGACCAATCAGAGCAGAGCTCAACGTGAGGCTGTCTACTTCGTAGGATCCAACTTTTGTGAATATACCCGACCCGACCGCACCATCTAAACCCTGTTTGGAAACTTTTTTTTTTTTTGGGTTTAAAAACGCTTTCTAAGTGAGAGTGTTTTTTTGTAACTAGAATTCAACCAAAACCTAATTCATTCGGGAAAATAGGATAATATTTAAAAAGCTTTATACTACGACAAATCAATTGTGTGTGTTTATTTCAGTAATGTATTAAACCTTTATCTAATCAGATGAGGAATAAAATCTTGAACACGAATTCTTATAATATATAATATTATATATATATTTTGTTGGATTAATTGAACTTACAGAAAAAAGAAAAGCTATTTAGTGATTGGCGAAAAGTATGTTGTT